AGTGCACTTTGTGGGGTTTATGAAAAGAGTCGCCAAATTTTGCACGCACTCTGTCCATATTTAGACCTGAAATATGAGGTGGCGTACCACATTTTAAATAGAGATCGAGAGAAAAATCGGTCAATGTGGTATTATAAGACTCGTTATGTATGGTAACGACATTTTTTGCCACTATTCGAAGGGAATGAAGTTCAATGATGGCGCCGTACCGAAGTCCGCTCCAAACGGTTAATGTTTGAGGACTTGTTCTTTGAAGTAGAGTCTAAGTCCTTCACCGTTTTAAGATGGTTTTAATGCCTGTAACTTGTTTGCAAAAATAAAAAGGGATTTCCCAATAGAGTTATAAACTTACTTCTGGAATCATTCGAAACAGTGTGCATTATCTTATCATTTTGGGTAATGGAAGTAAAAGGTGCAACCCGGATTTTTTAAAGCAATATGGTGGCGGCAAAATACAAGTTAAGTAAAATCTGACTAAGCGATAATGTTCTTGGTTTAATACCAATTCTCCATAAATTAATCATGAGTTCGGAGTTAGAGTTGTAAACTGCTATAAAAGTATAGTATACACAATTTTTTGTGTATATTATGACAAAAAAGCAATCGGAAATTGTAATTACATAAATTCCCCGTGTAAATGATATAAAAGAAATGTATTTTGTTAAGTAAAGCCAGACACGAGTTCGATCTGTCAACCAGTTTGTTTACAGCTGCTGCTTAAGTCGGTACACCTCAGTTGCGAGTTGCGATTTTTTCAATCGTTATAAATATTAAACAAAGAATTTGTCGCAAGTTTTGTATTTCTAATCCAATTTCGTAGTCGGAATCGTTGCAAATATTTGAAAAGGCTTACTGTTAGTCAATTTTATCAAAAAAGAAGCTTTTAAAGATGGTCGAGAGATCACTGAAGATACGCCTCATTCTGGATGATTTTCGAGCTAGAGAGAGCTTTTGTTAGAGAGATGGCAAGAGAGCTGGACATCTGTCGCAAGTCCATTCGAATGATTTTGGTGAATATTTGGGTTCGAAACGCATTATTGATTGACTCGTCTCGATAAAGTTGAATTTCTTTTAAAACGCGTACTATCGAGTTTAAAGCTAAAAACGCAGTGAATACCATTGATCAACCGCCGTACTCACCAGATTTGGCTCCGTGGAATCTGTAGGATCTGAAAACCATCCCAAAAAGTGCTTATGAAAAGTGTTTCGGGGACTGGTAAAATCATTGGCATAAGTGTGTTATATCTGGTGGGGATTACTTGGAAGGCGACAAAATTAATATTGATGAATAATTAAATACTTTTTTGTTACATTGTGTATACTTGTATGTAAGTAATTCTAGCCAACGATGATTTACCTCTGTCTTTTAGTCTTTTAGGGTCAGTTAAACTAATATACATTTTGTGGGTTAAAATTAACGTTATTCAAGAATCTTCTTAAAACGGCCAGGAGTTTTTTTTTAAGAGAAGTTTTGAATGGCCGCTAACATTGTTCAATGACAATATTCATTAAATGAAGGAAGAGAAGTTATGTTGTGAGCATGAAAGAGTCGAATTTTGGAAACAAAATAGATAAAAACCTGCGAAACTTACTCCTGTTGCAATAATTTTAAGATTATAATAGTATACTATTTTAGTGATTCCGGCTTTTACCAGCGATGGAACATAAAAAAAAAAAATTCTCTACTTTACACGGTACGGGCAAGAACAATGTTCACTAGTCGAAAAAAACGATCAACAACTCACAAACTCATGACAATTTTGAAAATGTTGAAGTTTGCTCAAAATTTTTGACATTTTTGTTCTTGCAAAATTTGAAGAAAAAACTGGTATGTCATTGTAGGAATAACTATATACAGAACATGTAGATAAGTGATTGAGTCATTTGTTCGGCAGTATATTGATAGCATAATCAGTAAAAATAACTTCAACGTTATTTAAGCATTTTCTTGAATAAAGAAAAAATCGAAGTGATTTGTTGGATTGATCGTTTGGTAAGAATTCTTGATACAGGTCATAAGATCTTCAATGATCAGCATAGTGCTTTGAACCTATCGCAAATGTGTTGAGGCGATCAAGGTCAGTTTCAGTTATATCTTCTGGTTCGTCGACTGGCGAGATGTTTCAACTTCAGTCTTGCAACGGCGGAACAAAGGGAAAAACTACTAAATGTTTCCACCTCATATTATTTGCAGCAAGCTGAATTTGGCTAAGGGCAAGTAGTTCAGTAGATCTCCTGTTTTCTATTCAAGGTCTAGGACAGTTCAAACACCATTGTTTTCCGATGGCAGATTATCGGTATGGATGAGAATACTCGAAGTATCGTTATAGAATTTTAAGTCAGATACAAATTTGTGGTGGGAAATAACTTATATTGTAGCATTTAGCTCAGTGAACCGATATTTTGGCATTCAAATTATTTTAACTGCACTTTAGGGAAGAGAGTAGTTATGAACTCGTTATCGTTTCAAATATTATTCGCAATTTTCAGGGTAACAGTGAGGAAATCTATTTCCCTATATGCCTCATCACCCAGCATTACGTTTAAACCACCTTTTCGTAGCGCTGCCTTTAAACTCAAGGTCACCAAATCGTGTTTAATTTCCATTTTGTTCTCCGCCCCGTTTCAGGGCTAGGCCAGGCAATTACTCCACTGTCATCGAAAATGCCGCGCAAGCAAAGGCTTTGAGCCATTAATGCGTTCATGCGATGCACATGACGGCGGCTTCACTTTCGATGGCGATAACGTGATCGTCATGTAAACGATGTCATTTGTAATACAACAAAAATTGCAACAAAAACAATAACATTAATGGCAACAACAGCAGTAGGAACTGTACTAACGAGAAGCGTACGACAACAACAGCGAGGTAACACCTGATCGACAAGCGACACACGCCAACAACAACAACAGCAGCAACAACTGAAATTGCAGTAACAAAACAGCAACAACAACATATGTGTACCTTTTAAGGCCAAAGAGACAAGCAAATAGCAAAAATTAAATTAACATTTGGGCGCGTTCGGCGTTGCATACAAATGGACGCACCCATACATACACAGCAACATAAACGAATGTTCATATATGTTCACATGCACGTAGCGACTTGCTCAGGTGTCTACTCACGTGTGTTGTAATGACGTTATGCACTTTGTTGTTGTTTGTATTTCTCCCTTTCTTGTTATTGGGGTTTTCTGTGTTAGCCCACAGCTCCGAAAAGAGTTATCAGCTTTGTTGCCGTTGTTGTTGTTATTGTTGTTTTTGTCATGTTTGCACACCGATTTTGTAGGTGAAGGCTTTGTGCCAATTCAAGCGGCAATTAAATTCACGTCAACAAACACGCATCAACGGCCAGCGAACGCCAGTGAGAGCCAAGTGACAAGCACTTTTGCCCAGCGTCAAGCGTCAAGCGCTGATGGCACGTTGTCGCGCCCGCTCTTGCCGTCTGTATGTATATGAGTGTGTGGTAGCTGTTAACGGTGCCTTTATTATTATTGTGGCTTGGCAAGTGGCGTGCTGAGGTCGCCGGGCAAGTGACTACCACATATGATTGTGGGATTTTATCTTTGTTGACATGTTTGCTGTGCTGCTTGCTCGCTGTCCGGCAGAATCGCGACGGAAAGACAACACACTGAGTTGTGGGGTTATGTAAAACTATTTTTTTTTCTAAAGTTGGGTGTGATGATAACACACTGGTTTTCTAATGTTCTGGAGAATACCGGAAGTTGATTAAATATAAATTGGACCGGTGGTAATAGACCTCTAGTGCGATATATGAGCAGAGAGGAATGCTTTAACCATAAATCCAAATAAAACTGAGCTAGTTTAAACTGACAGCAGAACAAAAATCCCTGGTGTTACTCTCCTCTCTTTGGAAGGCTGATTTTTCTACCAGTGAACCGCGTTAGTTACTTGGGGATTCTCCTGGATAGGAAGCTTTCATTTAAGCAAAACATCGGGGAGAGAGTGAGAAGGAATCTGTCAACTTATACTCTTGTAAAATAACAATTGGGAAGAGGTGGGACCTCTTACCAAAAGTGGTGTTCCACTCTACTTTAGATCATTGCATCGCAGAACTATCTTCTGACAGTTTTTTATCGGCTTGCACACTTGCGAGGGATTTCTAACTTCAAATTATCAGACGACTGTAGTGTCTTTCAAGATGATGTGGCTTCCCCAACATCTCAGAATGGCTGAAAACTGCAAAACCGCTGACCAAATTAGGGAGAATATCCTTTCTTCAATTGTCTGCTTATTTCTGGTGTAGGTTCCATTTGATCTCCAGTGAGCTCAGCAAGCGCTGTTCAAGAGCCAATACTTGTGCGACTTCGAGATCCTTCTGGCCCGTTAACTGTAAAGGGTCATCCGATTTACTGGCTTTTAGCAAAGTCAATCTCGCCGCAACTATAGGTGTTCTGACTGGACTCTGTTCAGTAAATTCACACCCGGTGTGGTTCAGTATTCTGTTCATGTATGGAATAAGACAAAGGGCAAACATCTTGTTGCTTCTTGCTCTATTGCCTAGTTTTTTCTGGACTTAGATTGAATATCACACCTTTGGCGAACCCAGCAAAGTTGCTGCGATTGATCTTAACCGTAATAAGGGTGTTGTAAGCACAAAACGATTCATCGATCAATGAGAATCTGATGATATGTCTTTAAGGAGTTTTTGAACAAAACAAATAATGAATTTCTGTTCTAGTCTAGTCGTTTGTTACAGGGCTTCAGTTCGATCTGTCGTATTCGTCATACAGCACATCTGCTTCTTGCGAAGACCTGACATCTTAGTGAGATACTTCATATAGTCCATTGAATTGCAAAGTTTCTGGACATCTGAGAAGAGTTCTAGATAACGCCGGAAAGAAGCAGATGTACTGGTTCCAGACTAATGGTATCTTTAGCATTACAACTTTTATATTCCTCATATTTCATATTTATCGATTGTTAAGACCACACTAGTTTACCAAAAATATATATAATAATATAATTTTTATTTCCAGCGATCACTATCAGACAAAGGAAGAACTGACCGACAAAGAAATGCTGAAAATTTGCAAAATAAATGCCTGTCCGAATGGCACACTGGGTCTACACTTAAGTCGAGCGCCCTGGGATCCCTACCCGTGGGTGAGTGGCATACAGGAGGGCTCCAGCGCGGAAGAAGCCGGCATGCGCGTCGGCGATACAGTGCTGGAGTTCAATGGCAACGATGTGCTGGGACAGAAAATTTTCGAAATTGCAAGTAGAATACGGGAACATTGGCAGAGTGGTGCAACCGATGTAAGTGTGGTGATTTGGCGCAACCAAACGGAGGAAGACAGCAGCTGCAGTGAGGACAATGATGATGATTATGAAGAAGCGAATGTAACGAACAGTAGTGATAGTGAAACGATGGCATCACAGGTGGAGGGCCAACGAAAGGTGAGTGAAGTACATGGGTTATATTTGTTTTAACCAGAATAATTTGTTAACAACATAGGTAACATAAATTGTGTGTCAAAGAGTTTTAAGAAGTTTTCGTTAATGAATGCATTGAGCTTAGCTTACTTATAAAAAATACCGTTCGAGAAAACTGTGATACCGAACCGTATAAAGACTTGCATATATTGATAGCATATTCAGTATCAATAACTTCAATGTGATTTAAGCTTTTTCTTGATTAAAGCGAAGTGAATTGATCGTAAAGTAGAAATCTTGAAACAAGATTTGACAAGCAAGTTAACAAACCACATACTTGTATCTTAAAGCAATTGAGAGTTCAGTAATTACTAAGTTAGGTTAGGTTAAGTTAAAGTAGTGAGTACCACAACAGGACGGTGTTCTATGCTGTTGAAATAGTATTCCTGTTATAGGTCGATCATATAGTTGATTTATTTTCCACAAAGATCAGCAAAGTGCTTTCAACTTATCACATATTTATTGAGACGGCCAATGTCAGTCAAAGGCTAAACAAAAGGGGGAAGTGATTGGATGCTTGCATCTCACCGATCTCACTCACATCTTGCATGCGGTTGAACTTTTAATCTTACAGCAAGATCCCGTATTGCGGCTAGATGAATTGTACTAAGGGCAAGTAGTTCAGTAGACCCCCTTTTTCTTTTCAAGTAAAAAAAGGTGCTCGCAGTAGTACACGACCTACTAAGTGGCTTCGAGCTCCATTGGCCCAGTGCTAGAATGTAATATGTTAATGGAGATCCAAATAGTTCACATTGGGATGTGAGTGGGCACAAATTTCCCATTCATCATCGCTGATCGATTTTGCAGTCCGGGTACTCATACGAGTGTGATGATGAAGTGCCTTGATGCTATTTTCTTATTGAGAACGAACACTACTTAACTAGTTTTGAGTGCACAGTTAGCGAGTTCAGCGTTAGTATTGCCACTCTTTTCCAGCGACTCCTCCTCATCCACATATCCCTCAACGGTATGAGATCAGATTAATCAGAATTATATTTGAAAGAGATGAGAACTTCTTCGCTGAGCCTGCAGTCCACAGATGCTGATAAATGAGGTCTGGTTGTGAATGAGGGCAAGACAAAATATTCTCTGTTGGCTTTTTTCTTTCGTCCTACTATTGACTTGGCTCTCACGTCACTGTTGACAGTCATAACTTCAATGGTGTAGATAATTTCGTCTATCATTGAACCAGTATAGCTCTTTCCAACAGATGCTACCTCGCACTGAGTAAGCAATTGAGAAGTAAAGTTTTCTCTCGACGAACAAAAACCAAACTCTATAAATTACTGCTCGTCCTACTATACGCCGCAGAGGCAAATATTCGCTTTTTCGGTACAGTGGATATATCAAATTGCTTCTAGAATTCTTAACTATGAAACAGCGATTTCGTGGAACACAATTGTAAGGACACTATATTTTCCAGAATACCAATACCAAGAACAATTCTTTGCAGTCTTAGCAAATAACTACGTTTCTCAACTTTTGTCTCTTGATCAAGTGTGAGCAAGCCAAATTTAAACGGATCAATCTGACTTTAATCAAGATAAAGCACTGATCTTCTTTATTTAATATTTTTCGGGTTCATCTCGTTCCTCTTAGCTGTAAAAAAGCTGACTTTTTGTATGACTTTCGATGCTTGTTTAGAAACTAAAACCACATATAGTCAAACACAAAATGTAAAATAACGTAACATCACTTATCATAAATTTACAACTGAAGATTAAGCGATATAATACCACTTATATTGACACAAAATTTGAGTTCTGGTTATCAATTGGTTATAAAACACTCATATTGAAGTAAAAAACGTAATAATAGAAACCACAAACATTGAAATAATATTAGAGTTTTGGTTATAAAATGGTTACACTTTGGTTATTATATTTGACAGCGATTTTCGATTTTTTTATGATACGTTGTTTTTGCATTTTAAACGATAATATGCATTTCGTTTCGTACTCCATCAAGCTAGCACCACACCAACTCAAAGCCAAAATTGCAAAGCTTTTTTGCCTAGCGGCTTCTATTACGCGCCAATATAGCTTTTATTTACTGTACTTTTTTACTGTTGCCAGAACTTCACTACGTGTCGAACATGTTGCAACTTGCACGCGATGCATGCATTTTCTTAGCGTTGCTTTCTGGTTGCAATTCGTTAGCAACTTCTTCACGCAATCTTCATTAATTAAGGTAGTCGTCACGCCTTGGCTATTGCATAAATGCCAGTGAATCAGCAGCCCGTTTGTTATTGTTATATGTTTTTGTAAGCTTACGTCTAGAATGTGGGTCAGTCGTGCCTTTGCAACGGTATTAAACGCTTCGTTTGTTTTCAGCCATAACGGTAGCACTTAGTATTGGCTGTAAATTTTTCACGCACAGCTAGCGAAGTTATTAATTAACCGTTTAACGGAAACAAACTCAAGGCCATAGCAGCATATGTGGAGTTTTCGGTTGGAAAAGCAATAAACCGTTTGAAAAATTATGAAATACGAAAAATTCAAAAAATACAAAAAAAAAAAACAAAAAAAATGCAGCCTCGAAGTATTGTAAATAATAATACTACAAAAAGTCAGCATTAAAATTTAAGAGCTGAAGACCAGCGCTCTCCAATAATTAAGCAAATTTGGCTTATGAGCAACAGCCCAGCCGATGGGGCGGACTTTCAGTGCATGCAAGCATTACCCAAATAAAAATTTAATTATGTCAATATGTGCATCGCAGCATACATACACACATACATAAATATGCGTATACGCGCTCAGCAAGCCAGCAGCCATCCTGCCGCTCCCTTTGACTTGAGTGCAGCAGCTAAACAACTTTATTGAATTATCCATGCGGAGGCAATATATTGGCTGTCATTATGCTGTATTACAATTTAATTGACCTAAATATGCAAACGTAAGCCATAAACAACCGCAAGCACATACGCACACACACATAAACACACTCGATTGTTAATCGCCAATGGTTTCTAGGCTTCTGAGAGAAGAGTGAGTGAGTTCGTGGAGTGGGCGCATATCAATTTCAATCAATTTGCAAAATCTGCCTCACGCTGCCCTCGCACGCCTTGAATATTTACTCAAGACCGAAAACAAAGTGCATTGTGCATCAGTAGTTGTAGGTAGAAGTAAGGAAATGGTTTCCATGGTTGCCCGTTTACTCGATTAATATACGCCAATTGTTCCGTAAAAGGCTTTTAAACGTGTAGGAGAATCAAACAATTGACGGCACTTCGAGGAAAATATTGAGGTCCGTTCAAACTTGTAGTCAAAAACTGGGGGGTCAGAGACCAAAAAAGATATTTATGAGTGAGTATCACTCTTGCTCTTGGACAAATTCGAAAAAAAAAAAAACTTCTAATAATAGATGCGTGGCCAAGTTGTCGGTGAAAAGACAATTTTGTTGTAAGATTGGTTACAAAAGAGTTATTCGAAGTTATGTCCATCGCTAGTCACAACTATTTCCCATCTTACTGACAAAGATCGCTTACCACTACGGTAAAATTTTTAGTCTCGAATTCAGCAAATAATCACTGGACAGCGCAATGTGTAAACAACATAGGGAGTAGTGGCTAACACTTCTTATTTAAGCGCTCTGAGTTAGATTGTATTAGATTTTTCAACGTGAAGCCGAGTGTTGTCGTGCAGCAGAATCATCTTTCGTGCCTCACCTGATATTAAGGTTATAGGAAACCAAAAATCCTTGTTTCTGAATCACTGAAAGCGCATTTAGTAGCTTTGAAAGGCCTTGAAGGCTTATTCCCAATGCTGTAGAAAGCTCTTCGTGCGTTTGTCACGGATTCTAGTCGAGCAGTAAATCCTTTTTATCAACTTCGTAGGTTTTTGGTCTTTCTTTCCTCTTTCCACTTTGAAGCGACGAAAGCAATCAAATCTAATAAAATATTTTATAATTTATATGAGAACAAAGTTGTTGAAATACAGTATTTGTTATCCAAGGAAACCAATGAAATCCCTTAAATAGTATGAATAATGAATAGTTTGATGAAAGAACAGAATAAAGCACACTTAAAAGTTCAATAGAGCAAAAACTGATAATATTTCTTGATCGCCTAAGTATTGATATGACCCTTGCATATTGAGGAAGTCTTACAAATGGAAACAGTCGCAGTTTATAAATATATGCATTGTCCTACCTTATTAGAAGTAATGTATACACTTGAAGATATTCAATGGCTTTGGAATGCCACAGGGAGCCTTGAAAGAGCTTAAACGCTGGCGCTAGACACTCAGAACTTTAAGTCTTGAAGACCATATATTGTTATGAATAAACTAATTTATTGAAAGCTTATCTTCGTATCCACCGACGTTATATACCTTTACGATAGCTTCAAAATTCATTCAAAAAAGTTAACGACTTTAAAAACAATTTTCCGTCTATTGCCATCGATATCAAATCAAATAGCAGTTCCAGGAAATGATCTATGTGTGTCTATAATTTATGTGTGTATAATTGTTCAAAGTGTTTAAAATATTTTTAATAACTAACAAGGAAAAACGTTAACTTCGGCTGCATCGCTGCGTTCAGTTGGTATGGAAGCTATATGCTATGCTAGTCCGATCTGAACAATTTCTGCGGATATTATATTATTTCTTTAAGTAGTCATCCATGCTAATTTCGTAAAAGAACTTGATTCCGATCGTTCAGTTTGTATGGCAGCTATATGTTATAGTGGTCCGATATCGGCAGTTCCGACAAATAAGCAACTACTTGAAGAGAAAATAACGTTCGCGAAATTTTATAACGATATCTTAAAAACTGAGTTACTAGTTTGTATATATACGGACAGACAGCGGACGGACGGACAGACGGACGGACGGACATGGCTAAATCGGATCAGCTCAACATACTGATCATTTATATATATACTTTATGGGATCTCCGACGTTCCTACTGGGTATTACAAACTTCGTGACACACTTGATATACCCTGTTCAGGGTATAAAAAAAACATGCTTCGATGAATACACTAAATTTTATTAATTTAGTTATCATTAATATCAAACCATAGGGGAAATTTTTAATTTTTATTATAATTAGCAAATATAAGCCTTCCTGAGCAAGCTCACATAGAGCACCACTACTACCTAGACTCACGCCACAGTGGTGGCGGGTAGTTAATTTCTTTCATTAAGACTTCAGAGAATAAAAGGTTTCTTAACTGAATTCGAAAGGTATTGAAAGCAGTTTATAGATATATTTTCATCTGATGTTGATATTGTTGGGGCAACACGTTTTTCTTCTGAGAATTCGCACAAAACAGGGTATTAGTAATAGAAACTAGTAAAATCTAAATTGTATTTAATAATATAATAATCCATTTGGACAGGTAATATTGAATTCTGATTGCATCTACTTCGAACAAGCTCAGTGGTTACAAACTTGTTGGACCAATAGTCGACGAGCATGAAGTCCGGAAGTTGGTATCAGATCTCGTCACGGATGCTATTATTTGGTACTGCTGTCAGACTTCACAAAATTGCAATTTATTATGCTAATGAAATTATTGTTAAATCCAATGCGATCTGTAAATGGAAGTACTAAATTTGAAACGACTTAATAGAGCCTAATAGAGAACTTGAAATATATGCTGCATTTAGCTCCATCTGTGACCTGTTGTTGGATTTTTTGCCTTTGTGATGTTCTATCTCTAACTCATTCAGTGTAAATCTTCAGAAAGAATCGATCGATCTGCTGGCAAAGGCATCAAATATGATACATATCCTGCTTGAAATCGAAGACAACAAGCTAAGAAACATTTTAAACTAAAAAAAAAAAAAAACAAACAAAAACAAAAAAAAAAAAAAAAAAAAATGGCGGCAGAACTGAAAGTGGTCAAGACTGTGCGGCTGACAAAGAAAATTCGAAAATTTCTGCTTGCGTAATTGCGAAGAATATTGCAGCGTCCCAGTGTACATTCCTCTGTTGAATACAATCGACTAAGATTTGAAGACGCGCTTTTCTAAAGAAGTATTGAATATATTTAAGTTTGCTGCTTCCAAAAAAGTATGTGCTTTGAAAAACAAGGAAATGGGAAATCTTATTGACTGTTTGATAGATAGATTCCAAAGAATTTTCGATAATGACAACATCGTGAGACGTTTGTAGGTTCAAAGGTGAACTTGATCATTGGCAGCGCCACCTCGATATTAAACTGCATTAATTTATAATAATTTTTATGTCTCAAGTAAATGTTTATTTCACCTCCCCAAGAACAGTTTCTGGATCCGCATCTGCCATTATTGAACACGTACTCAATGGATCCTGTAGATCATGTTTAATTAATTTAATTGCATAAAAAAAGTAAAGGGAAGAATGTTGTGAATTAAGTTCAATCAACTACAAGGAGGTAGTTAACATTTTTGCTAGGTTTATACATACCACACTTAAGGTAGATCGCTTGAAGTAGTAAGTAAAACTTCATTTATTTACTCAGCAAAGACTTAGTTACTTACAGCTCAAAGTATTTAATCAATAATATTTTATTTTTAGTAATTACAACTACAATATTTTCTCTCCAATCAACAAAAAGTTGAAAATTACAAAAATTTCCACACCGAACTCCTTAATTGAAGAGATTTATTTAGAAACTTTCCGAAATTTATACTCAAAAATTTTATTTGCTTCTCTCTCTCTCTCTCTTTTCATGCGAACACGGCGACTTTGCAACTTTACATTGCGGCGCATATTTGCAGCGTGTGCAGCGGGCGCATCAGCAGCATTCCAGCATTAATCAGCAGTCACTGCAGAAGTTCGCCACATGCCTGCAACACATTGCCCAATTATTGGAGTGTCCTGTTTGCCTTGAGGTAAGTGGCATGCCTTGCATATCGATGAGTTGGCAATAGTTTGTGGGCAGCACAGAGGGCGGCGGCGGCGGACAGCCGTAGCATACAGTTAAGTTTGTTGCACCCCTTCTTGCCGGCCATGGCAGTTATTTATGGTTGGTGGAGAAGGGGGAGGAAGTGAGGACTGCACACACTTTTTGTTCATGCATATTTGCGCATTCAATATGCCTAATAAATGAGTATGAGTGTGTGTGTGCGGCTGAGTGAGTTTGCATAAGTGTTTGTGTTAGTGTGTTTGTCTATTTTTGTTTGTATGTGTATTATTCGAGTCCTTAATGTGCATGGTTAGGCAATGATAGCGTCAATATGAATCCACTTGCATGTGTGCGAGTATGTGTGTTTGTGCATTTCTGTATGTGTGTGTGTGCGTGTGCCTACGCCAATTTAGCTAGTTAAGCCGTTTAGCTGCGTTGCGGGTCGAAGCGGCGGCGTGCAGTATTCAACCGGTCAACTATTAGCTGGAACAATTGATGCCGCACACATATACAAAGCACTCATGCATAGATGTATATGAGTATGTGAGTCCTTGCATACATATTCGCGTATGTGTTTGCAGTGGATTGCAGTCACAATTTGCTAATCACAGCCTTCGCATTTGTGTTTGTGTTTGCTATTTACTTTTGCTTGCTGCACGCGTTGCAATTGTTATTGTTTGTTTTCCAGCGCATTGCCAAAAAAACGAGAACAAAAATGTGCACAAAAACAAACACACAAGAGTCTTCAAAAACAATATTAAGTACACACTTGAAATTTTATTTGTGTGCGCCAAACACACACACACACATACACACACACTGAGGGGTTATATATTCAGGAACTCGCTCGCTTGCAGCGGCAAATTGGGATGCCATGCGCTAAGTAAATATGAACAACTACAACAATAACGCATATGTGCATGTGTGTGTGTGTGTGTGTGCGTGGCTAACTAACAAGCACATCTAGCGAAATTAAGTTTGGCTTTGCCGGCGTTGCAAACTTTTTGCGTGCACTGTTTTCCGCGCTGTTGTTTACTTAGCTCCGTGTTTCCATGTGCATTTCGTGTGCTTGCGCGTTACTCGTGCTACAAAATAATGCACAAACACTTGCGCACTCCCAGCGCACCTGAACTAACACTAGCACAAATAAAACTGCAACAACAACAATATGAACGAAAAGTTAAACGCGGTCTGTGCAATCAATTTGGCGAGCTGAAATGTGAGGCTATTGCGCTGTTCAATTCTTTGCACGCCACGGCGTATGAGTAACACTTGCAGGAGCACTGAATATACATATAAGTATACGAATGTAAGTATGGCATGAGGTTTGGCGTGGCGTATGAGTAACATGTGTTGGTTGCTGCTTGAAGAAATCTAATGAATATGATTGTAGTGATTGCAGCTGGCTTTGCATATGCTAAATTTAGGAAAAAGCAGATATTGCGTTGAAATAATAATAAAGTAATGCTCAGTAAACGAACTAAAGTATTTGAATGTAGTGCATGTGAGAGAGTGAGAGAGAGGGCTCAAAGAAATGTTTTGCATAAAAAGGATAACAACGTACTCATTCATATGCAAACACTACTTTTAGATTAAAATTTGCTATTTTGCTAATGAAATGCTTTTGATTGCGTGATAAAATTTCAGTTTCCGGAATTATTTGCAGAATGTATACAAGTTTTCTTCCTTTTTGTTACTCTGAATTACAAAACCAAGAAACACTTATACCTCTAGGGCTTATACATATAATTAATTGCTTATTTAATAATTATTTAACATAAATTAATAACTTAAAATTTAATTTAGAAAGTAATTACGTTCATTTTGAGTATTGTAGTACTGTGAAAGTAGCTCTATGTATGATTTTGGTTAAAATTTTTGTGAATAATTATAATTCTGAAACCTTCTGAACATCTCAGAGGCCAAAAGTAAGTTTTCTAAAGAGTTAAATGTAAAGTATATGTTAGCTTGTTAAGTGGAGGTCAAAGTAGTGCCCAAATTTAACTTTTTTTTCGTTTTATGATGAAGTTAAAAAAGATTGATGCTCATGAAATGGTTTTTTTTTTGCATTTCTTTAATACTTGTGACAATGTTAAAATTTTTAATTAAAATTAGATATTTTGAAAGTTATTTAATGCAATTTTTGAAATACCTTAAGAAATTCTCTTGACTTACAAATTTAATAAAGCAATAGTCGTCAGTTACTGAAGTATATCAAATGCACAAAGTTAGCAGTACAGAAAGCAAATCCATTTGAAGAAGGCGTTAAGGCCTAATATTCTCTTATATTCTTCGGATATGTCTAATTGGTGTCAGAAGCAACACTAGACTATTGTTTTTTGTTTCCGTCTATACTCTAATCCATCGAGACCTTCTCCAAAAAGCTTATTCCTTATTATTTAACCAAGGTTTTCCAATAATAGTGATATATTTCTGTAAAAACGCTAATTATTAAGGAAATTCAAATGTTTTTTATTTAATGTAATACCCAATCGATTCAATTAAGTTCTGAATAACATCATTCAAATGGACTTCACGAGTTCTTTTGCAGGAATGAATTCAATGAACTAAATTTTCGAGTATATTTTCCAGTAAAGAAAGTCGTATGTCACTACTAACTTATAAAGATTGAAGAGAAATAACTTCATAAGAAGTATTGTAATGACCATACAAAGTTACAATTTCCTGAAATAATCGAATCCCCGAACTTGTTTTGCGATAATTCGATTGTTGGAAGTGCTGTACTGGTCCATAGCCCCGTCTTATTCGAATCAGCTGCTGTCCATACCAACTTCTTCCAATTGCGGCCATAAAAAGTTGGTTATTAGCGATTTAAGTCGGGCTCCATTGACAGTAACGGTGTCACCTCTTTCACTTCGAAAGAAGTACGGAACAATGAAAGAGAAACCAAACTCTCAACTTGGGTGAATGTAATGGTTCTTCATGAATAACTTGTCGATTTTTTCGCACAATAATCGACTGTTTGGTTTACTTACCGCATTACGTAGTTGAAGGTGAGCTCAAATGAGGCTGAGACGATATTATTAAAAAAAAAAAAAAAAAATCGTTATTATGTTCAAGATGTTCTAAGGCAAAGTAAATTCACAATTCTTGAACACGTCTTGGAATCGACAAATTGCGGTACTCAGCAACCCTTTCCTGAACGGCAGCAATATTTTCATTACATCGAGCGGTTCTTTGTCTTACTGGCACCTGAACATTATGTAAGTAAAACGGCAAAAGCGCACGAAAATTTACAATTGGAAAACGATTATTTTATGATAAAATTCAATAATTTGCAATGATTGTTCATGCGTATATTATTCCATGCAGAAACTGTAAACATTTTTGAATACAATAAAAAACACAGATCATGACAAGTTAAAAATGGTCGAAACGTCACTTGTAAATCAAATAATTTCTTATAAAACCCTGTATTAAGTAAATTGATGGCATTTGTTTACTTTGGGAAGGTAGGCCTCAACATCCTAAAACTAACACTTCTGAAATTATTCCTTTTTTCTTTGCCCGCTTTTCTCTTTCTAATGGAGTTTTAAGGCTGTTATAATACAATATTCCACTTTTTCTTTAATTTTTATATCTGATGCATATTTGAGGTTATCTTGTCATTTCAATACCTAACAGAAGTTTTCCAGCAAGTGAGAGTATACATGTTTTGTGCTTAAATATTGCTTGAGGAGAGAGGATGTTACATACTCAATAACAAATAATTAGAGCAAAACAATGTTAAGAATAAATTTTTCATCATTTTCATTGGTCTGTGGTACATAAAATTTGGAAAAAGAGAGTTTTGTGTTCGAGATATTTTTTTAGCTATAAAAATATTATTTTAATAAATGATAATATATATATACATAGTACATAAAGAGCATTAAATACATACTTCCGTCCCGCCAAATTATTAAATAATAATATTTTCGGTCAATTCCTCAAATCTTCTCGATTAATATCAGTGGAATTTACTGCAAGTAATTAAAGTGCAATGCTTTCGTATTCTCCTGCAAATGAGAATATTACATTGAGAAGCAATTAAAATAATTTGTATTCCGAATGGGAAATAAGACAGCAAGAAGGAAACTTGGAGAGAGGAAATGTGTATGTGAGTGCGCTCGCTCACATACGAGTATATGCAACTGGATATGTTATACACACACACATGTTATCAGAATAATACCTACACATGGATATGTAAATATCAGGGCTAGCGGCATTGTGTTTGAGAATTCGAAAACACAATTTCATTCAAATCAAAATTATTATGAAATTATGCCAATAAATAGTGCAGCAACAAATTGACAGTACCCAGCTTTGAGTTGTGTAAGTGTCAAGGTGGAAACTTCGAAATGAAGGCATACTAATATCGAAATAGTATACCTTGGACTGGAAAATGAATTGGTCAAGTGAGACAGCAATGGAATTAGGATAATTTTAGTGTATATATATATCATATGTATATGATTCGAAAACTCTCATTAAAGCCTCTTTATGTGAGAAATAAACACGCAATTCCACAATGCTTGCACAGAATACAAAGGAAGTTTTTGATAATTTGAGACAATTTTGTTCAAACTTACAACTTCTCGCCGGATTCCTACGTATTCCTTCGTGTATTTTATTGGAGTCAGATATAGCGTTCAAATGGGATTTCTTCGCATATTCTATTTGCGTTACTGGTTTTAGTTGACTGCTTTAGACTGGTTTTTTAGGCAACTTCCCAACTATAAGATAGAATTAAAATATACATCTGACGTTGTCCTGATAGAGCATAAATCCTTTTTAAATAGCCAAAGCTGGTGTTTGTGAAGACCACAACATATTTATACTGAAAGTGCAGTCTGTAGGTAAAATTAATGTTTTATATATATATTATATATATTTCTGAAGTCTTCTCTAAACAAACAGACCTTTTGTAAGTAAATATCTACATATCTCCTTGGGCACATGTAATTGTATTAAATATTTGTA